AGCGGGGCTGCGCTGGTGCTTCCCAGCAAGGCAAAGTTACCTCAGAAACTCCAGAAACGGCATTTCGGGCTAACGTGGGAGAGTTCTCGGCGCTGTGTTTAAGCTCAGGATCGAGGCTGTTGCAGGCACATTCAAGCGCCGGCTCTGGCTTTTCTCCGGGTTTCTCCAGCCGTGTGAGCAGCTCTCCCAGGTGCGGGAGGACGAGCGGAAGTCGCTGTTCCCAGGACTGTTGCAGCGGGCCTGGATTTCATACACGCGTTTCCCTAACCTTGTCAATTCCTTGGATCTGAACGTTGAGGGGGGAACGTGCAGATGTTAAACAGGTAGCGGTTCCCGAGCCGCGGGGCTGTGCAACACGAAGGTAACTGTTAATCATGGCTCAACGTCGGCTCCACCGTGGGAAGGGCAGATGGAGACTTGGACAGGCCTGAGCGGCTTCGAACACGTCAGACGTCCCCGCAACGCTTCGCTACTGCCTTGCAGAACTTGCAGGAGAAACGTGTTTCTAAGGAAAGATGTTTTAAAGGTTTGCCTTTATTTTTCCATTAGAAATAAACTGTAGATGTACAATGATGCATTTTTTTCTTAATCTTTTAATCAGAGCTTAAACTTAGGGCCGTTCCTGGCACGGTGTAAGGGGGAAATGGAGGTTTCCTTCTCCCTCCGCGGCAGCCTCAGGCCTCCGTCCTGCGCCGGGCTCGCGCTGTGGCCCTGCCTCGCAGGGAGAGGAACCGCAGCGTTTCTAAAGCGCTGGCAGCGTTTCTAAGTGTGAAAACGTCTTTAAGCTGCTGTTTGTCCCACACAGGAGACCCGGCAGCAGCCCGTAGGTGGCAGCGGGGCCCGCTCTGTTCTCACCCAGCTTTTCGCGGATTGATTTCGTTAAACCCTTTTGGAAACGAAATCTGAACTTTGGATAAGGGTGCGGGTGGGCACCGTGCGCGCAAGGGCAGCGGCTGCTCCTGCCCGGGGCCCAGCTGGGCCACGGGGACGGGGAGCTCGAGCCGGGCCGGCCCTGGCGGCGCTGGGGCCAAGCGAGGCAGCCGGGCCGGGAGCTGGTGCCGGGCTGGGATTCGGTGCAGCCACCTCGGACACCCTCCAGAGCCCAAGGGGACGGAGGGAAGGGGCAGGAGCCGGGGGTGCTTTTGGCCAACAGCCCCCGGGCTGCTCCGCTCACACCCGCACGCCCTGGAGCGCAGGGACGGACGCAGGGACGGCCCCGCAGGTGCCACCGCCCCCGGGGGCTCCCCACACACACCCGGCGCCCTGCGTAGTAGTGTAAATAGTTTATTGGATCTTATGGCAGGAACAGACCAGGAAAGTAACACGAACTGCTTTTATAAAACACTCCTACTATTGCTAAAGAAGCAGGTCTAGTACTAGAAAAATATTAAAGAGAACATGCCAGTGTTACGGCCTATCTGCCTGGTAAGTTGTGACTTAAATTAAAAAAAAAAAAACAAAAAAAAAAAAAAAAAAAAAAAAAACCCCTTTGATCTTAAGGATGTGAGAGCGCGTATGTTCAACCATCTGGCTAACAATTAATTAAATTAACTGCCCATTTTTTACACAGATTAAAATGCTGGCCTGTCAGTGACGAGCGGCAATGGGGCATGTTCTCTTTAGCAGGTTGGGTAGCGGTGCTGCGAGGGCGCCAGCGTGGCGGGTTTTAAAGGACATAATGGCCTGTAAATAGGTAAGCAGAGGTCAACGTGGTTACTTTGAGCCCCAAACTGTCCATTCAGTTAAATATAAAAACAAAAACTATAAGTTAAAATAACATTCAGATTGTATAGCACAGGTTGATGCATTTTTTTTTTTAAACAATATTTACATTATTACCGAGAGGCTAAAGTGGGAATAAAAGAGAAGTGTAAAAACCATAAAAAAAAAAAAACTGCACCAATTTTGTAGCAAAATATCTGTACATTTAAAAACAGATTATCATATAACTACACATTATCCAAGGAAAATGGGACCTTCACCAGTGGTTCACATAAGCACAACATAAAAGAAAGAAAGAGATTCAGTGGTTAAATAATATACAATAAACTTTACAATTAACATACTGATGCAATGAGCCCAGCGGGGGTCAGCTGTAAGCGCACGCTCGTGCCTGGGCAGCACAAGGCGAGCGGCGGTCCCGGTCCTGGGGCGAGGACGGCGCCCGCCGCGTTCCCGCCGCTCGTCCCGCGCAGGGGCCGGAGCCGGGGGGGGGAGGCCGCTGCACTAAGTCTCATTCCCATTTTAAGCTCTGGAAACGCAACGTGGAACCTCGAGGCTGGGCTGCGTGTTGCCGTCAGCCCCTCGGGGGC